TTTTATACGACTTTCCTTTACAGTGGTTTTCCGCTGTTTCTCATAATAGTTACCATCGGTTTAGCATTTTATTTGTGATGATAATTGTATTCATAAATCTAAATCAATGCCAAATAACTTAGTTTTTATTGTATTAATAGTTATTTATTATGAATTGATATTATCTTTTGTTTTGTAATGAATTTTTGTTGAGATTTAGTTTTCATAACAACAATAACAGTCTCTCTCTCTCTCTCTCTCTCTCTCTCTCTCTGAATTATTATTTCCCTGAAAATTTCTTATCTAGAAATCTAGAAATACACAAAAATATTATTTATTTACTCATAATTTAATTACTGAAACCAATTGTGTAATAATCTCTCATTTTGTTTGTTGAGTGTATTCTTTAGACTCAAAACTTTCCTTTTTTTGTGATACATATAAGGAAATGACTATATTTTTCATACAATACGGTACATACCTAACGTAACGTATTGTTTTTAGTTTTTTCGTTAAAAATTTAATTAAAGATGAATACAAAACAGAAAAGGACAGTTGCGTAAACACTGTGATAAAACAGCAAAAACCATATAAAAATGCAAATTATAATTTTGTATTTTTTAGTGTAACTGTAATTATGAATACATTTTGTTTAAATATTTTGTACATGCATTAGAATTTGTTACATATTTTTATTTCACTATATTTTAGCCCTTTTTGAGTGAAATATTTTAGTTTGACTTATAATTGAGTTATTAATTGAAATGTTTTAGTTTTTATCTAAAACATAAAGTTTGTAGCATTAAGATATTTTAGTACACAAACTACTGAATCATATACCGGTGCTATAGCTGTAGTTTATATGTTTTGCAGTAAATTATTATTATTAATAGCACCAAAAAACATACTTTAAAAGTGATAGTTTTAAAATCATATGTTATTTTTTGAGTTTAATAACTATTTTTCCTTTTAAAGCGTGTTTTTTCTCATAATTAATATTTTTGTGTCAAAAAAATATCAAGTTTTGTAACTTTTTGAACACTCGATAGGCTTTTATGTATATATTTTTTTTACTGAAAATGACTGCTTTTTAGTGCAAAATATTTGATTAATTGAAAAACATCACAAATTTTGAGTGAATTAATTACTTTTTTGAATGAGAAAAGTAACGCTTGATTTATATATGAATTACCGATTTTTAGGCAATGATTTCGGGCAGTGTTTTGTGATTATTTAAGATTAATAGTTAGTTTGGCTAAATTTAGTTATTTTATGGCACAGGTATTTGCTTTGTTAAATAGCTCGTAGAGTTTAATAACGCCTCCCAAACACACGCCAGGGGGTTATGGGTGTAGTTATACGGTATAACACGTTACGGGTGGACGACCCCCGCAATCGATTAGCCTTTTTTGAATACTCTCTTTCTTTCTCTTTCTCTCTCTCTCTCTCTCTCTCTTGTGTTTGCCTTCAAAATCCTTCAGACAATATATTCAGGAAATAATCAATTCTTACAATTGAATTGAGTATTGAATAGAAAATTGCATTTAATTGTGCGCTTGATATTCATTTGATTATTAGTTTTCAATTACTTATTTCCCTCTCAATACAAACACCTGTCGCTTATGGGGAACGTATGGTTTAATTATAGATTGACTTTCCATTGTCTGTGCGTTATTTGAATTAAAAATGTTTTGCTGTTTATGTTAAAAACTTTTGTTTGTTTGCGAGTAAATCACACGCATATTAATTGTATTGATTAATGATTGTATGTTTTGTTGCTATTGTCTATAGGCGTCGACCATCGATGGCAGGCGTAAAGGTGCTTGCTTATTCTGTCAGGAGTACTTCATGGACCTCTACCTGTTGGCAGAGCTCAAGACCATCTCATTGAAGGTACGGTTCCTATGGATAGTGTAGTTATTTTGAGTGATAAATGATTTGCAGTTAGTTTTGGTGTTTGTTTTAAAATGTATTAATTTTTTATTTGATTTTTTGTGTGTTGTTTGACGGGAACTACAGGTAACGACAGTGGATATGTTGAAACCGCCACCAGATTTCCGGTCCAACTTTGACTCGACGCCCCCACCCATACTGATCGATAGGGGACAGGCGGTGCTCGAGAACGAGAAGATTGAGCGCTATATCATGAAGTCTATACCCGGCGGACACAACCTCTTCATATCGGACAAGGAGACGGCCACCACCATCGAGAACCTCTATAGCGTTAGTCTTGATCCCCTCCCCACCCCTTACATACCTGTCCATTGAGTCTAACAGTGTGCGTATTGTTACAGAAATTCAAACTAATGCTTACGAAACGCGAGGAGTCCTCGAAAAAGGCACTACTCGTCCACTTGAGGAATATTAACCAACACTTAGAGAGACGGAACTCCAGATTCCTGACCGGAGACACCATGTGTTGCTTCGACTGCGAACTCATGCCACGCCTTCAACATATTAGGGTCGCCGGTAAGTCCCGGGAGGGTAGGGGCTCATCGAGGCATTCAATAGTAGCTATGAGTGTTTGAGTTAGTTTAGTATTTATTTAATTTTGTAATAGTTTTATAATACCTGTTATGTTAGCGATGGTAAGCTGTAGATGGCGTATCACTGTTTGGGTAGATTTTTAAAATACCGTTCCCCTAATACTGTACCATTCCTTTGATGTTTCACTGAATATTTTGTGTCCAAAAAGTTGTCTATTTTTAATAGATAGCTAATTGTCTCACAAATTAATTAATTGATAGCTAGAATGGATTAAAGCTTTAGATGATATAAAAAGTTTAATGTGAATGAAAACATAAACCATTTTTGGTGTCATTGAATCCAAAGGCAAATACTTCTCGGAATTCGAGATCCCGGAGGACTTCCAGCACATCTGGCGCTATATGTACCACATGTACCAATTGGACGCATTCACGCAGTCGTGTCCGGCCGACCAGGACATCATCAACCACTATAAGCTACAACAGGGCACCCGCATGAAGAAGCACGAGGAGCTCGAGACGCCCACCTACACGGCCAGCATACCGGCTCACATCGACACCAATAACTATCACTCCGATAGACATTAAACATCTATATTCTTCGTGTCGACTATTATTTTTATTGTTTATTTGTTTTTCCGTTTACTTGTACTTCTGATTGACTTTATATGTCTGAGAATATTCTGTGTGTTTTCAAAAGGAGTTTGTGTTTGCGTTGAACACAGAATTTGTTTGATTTATTAGTTTTCTTACGAATACTTATGATTATTATTCGCTTTACTTGTAATGACTTTTTTTCCATTGAATGACTGCTCCTAATGAGTGAGAAATAGATTTATTATTATTTACTATTATATCAGAAATGTATTGAAATTCTTATATAAATTCCAAACATTTGTATACTTGTTTTCTCTCTTTAAAACTTTTCGCTTATGATTTGTCACTAATTTGTTATGAATTTGTGTTATTTTAAGTGTATATACGATTTGTTTGCCCCTAATAATAGCATTCATTTCCAGATCCCTGTCCCCCACCCCAGACCCCATATATAGTGTACAATTTTATTGATTTGATAACTAATACATTATAAACGCTATTAAGTTATGCTATTTGAAAGATACAAATTTAATTATTATTTAATATTATTTTTTGATTATAATTATTACTTATTATTATTATAATTATAATTTTGATTCGCACTATAAATGAATGATTTAAATAAAATGTGAATTTTAATTTTAGAGCATTTTGTGTTGATTTTTAACCGCTTTTTAAATGCCTGATAAAAATATTTTTTGAAATGAGATTTTTTTTCTTACGTCACATTTATAACGATAATATTTTTAATAATTTTATAGAAAACTTAAACTTAAATTAAAAAATTAATATCATATTTGAATTTAAATTTGCTATGACTACAAAGTATATTTATATTATACCCTAAATTAGATTCAAATGATTTTAAACCTAGATTGTAAATTGTTTTTTGTAAGTACTCTTTGATACTGGAATTTAATTATTTAATACATTAAAGAACTTTATTATTACACCATTTGAAATGTAGTTAATATTTGTATATTATTTATATATACAAAGTTATAAATTATAGGCTTTTTATTAATGTCCATTAAACCAATCATTGGGTTAAATGAAGTCTAAAAATAGTGTCAAGACTAAATTTATTTATTTAAATTTCAAATTATCAAAATTATTCTAAAATCATGACATATAATGGCCAAATCTGTGTCCAGTAACTTTTATTCTTTAAATTCATTTAACATTTAAGTTATGAATAGATTATTAGACAAGAATATTCTCACAATATATCAAACTTGTGATTATGATTCAGTGGTTTTAATCCAATATAGTGACGACAATGAGTGACTCGCATTGTCAGTGAATTTTTACTCAATCATTACTTTTCAAACAAAAATTAACTATTTATTGGCTTTGAATTGAAGCGAATAAAACAAATCATCGCTTTATATGTTATGATAATTGTATGGAAATAAACAAAAGCCATGAATATATAGAGAAATACATATTATATCGAGACTCGAGTAGTAGTGATGCCTTTAAGGCAAACGCATACATAATAATAGCAATACTTATCAATACATATACACATAAATTGGATAACTTTTACGGTTAACTCAAACTCATGTCTATATTGTGTAATATTTGCGTAGAAAACTTCTAATACAATATTCAGTACTTTGTTGTGTGTCGAGTATGCTATATGTCAGAGCACTGGTAGCTAAAGCCCATGAGATGAGTACCGATGCCAAGCCTGCAAGCATTTGGAGTATAGTTTTGTTAGCAATTGTGAGCAAACGTTTGCTTTTCTGTCTCTCAACTCAACTCTACTTTTCTATACTACAGAATACCGTTCCCTAACTTTTATGTACACTATCTGTGTGTATGTATTATATTGTATACCATTCTCTGGGCTCTCACTATGTTTGCTGATCTAAATTATTGTCAGTTTGTCATCACTTTTGCCTTTACTGTGACTTATTCTATGATATTCTGTTAGATATATCAATATTATACCTTTCCGTACGAGTAGTGCACACTATCTCCCAGTGCTCTCTCTCTCTCTCTCTCTCTCTCTCTCGTCTATGAATCAGATTTTATTCGTTGGTTTAGAATAAAAGGAGAACAAGAATTGTGAGGAATCAATGAGAGAGAGAGAGAGAGAGAGAGAGAGAGAGAGAGTCCAAAGGGAAAGCGGATAAAACACTATTGAATACTTGAATCGAGAGAATAAGACATTGAATTCAATTGAGAGAACATATACTCGGAGTATATGAACGAAAAAACAACACAAAAGACTTTCATAGACTTGTGAGCACTCATTGAACAGCATTTTGACAGCGATTTTGCTTTTGCTGTCGAAAGAGAACCAATAGTTGGGAAACAAACTGAACATATAGTGTATGGAAAGTCTACTGAACCGACACATCGACTGTTCACATAATGTATGAGTTGTTCATATATTACCGAGTGTTCAGTAATTGTGAATTAATTTAGATTTTATAGTTCAATGTAAATCAGAATTTAGGACTTTTAAATTAGCTTATTACTAATTATTCGTGTAATAAGTTTTGAGTTTTTATAATATATTCAAAGTTTATCTTATAATAATTATTCATTTAAAATATTTACGCTGTATCACTTTTTATGATTTAGATTTTTTGATTTAGATTTAATTTTTTGAATTTTTAATATAAGTTTCATGAAAAACATATTTCACTATTGACTGAATCCCAAAATAAAACACATATTTCTAATGCAAACAAAATACAACATCTTTTGAAATGAAAAATACATTTTTTGATGCGATATTTAATATGAGACAAACTATTGAATTAAAATACATCTCCACTGAATACATAGATAGGTAATTGAATATACAGTGCTACCGGTGCTCGCAAATCACTATACTGTACATTATACACTGGTTTTATTAAACATTTTTCGGTTCAATTATGTGTTTTGAGTTTGGGATACATTTGGGAAAATATATATTAGAAACGCTGCAATGGTTTAGAAAATATGTTATATATATTCTGGTGTATGAATAGCACAGTTAGCTTATGGGAAAGTAGTCATAAACGAGTGAAAAAGAGCGCTATAAAGGCATTCAACTGATTAATTTGGTCTCTATTTTCCAATTTTATGCACTAATACTTCGTTTTGTATATCAGATTAAAATAGGATTAGCGGTGAAGTCCAGCAAAAAATGTTCAAATTTTTCAATATGTGATGGGTACTTGTCATTTACATTTACACGTCTCTCTCTCTCTCTCTCTCTCTCTCTCACTCACTCACGGTTCGCTCACAAATTGATTAGGATAATATTTTATGAATATTTTTTGCTTGATTATTTTCTCCTCAATTGTTTATCTCATATCCACTTGAATTTCAATTAAAGTTGGAGTACGCGAGAGAAAGAAATAGATACAGTATAATAGGATAGAAAATCTGAGCATAAATTGGTATTATATGTGGTTTTATTTGCTAATAAAAATGATGAGTAAAATGTTGTGGTGAGTAAAGAGCCCGGGGCTTATATTTCAAGTAATACAGTAGTACAATACCAAAAATACCTATTTTTTGTTGAGTATATAATAAATTAAGAAAACACTGGTTATAACTGAATTAAAATGAACACCACTTGAAATAACTTATATTTTTTGAATGAATATACCGTAATACATGAAATCTCTGAATAGTATACATTAGAAATAATTTCAATTTTATTGTATAAACACTGATTGATTTTCAAAAGAAAATTCTCCCTATTTATCAATTATTTGTGAAAAGATATAGTATAACTTTTTATTTTTAAATTTTTTATTCATTGATATTTTAAATATTTATTGAAAATATTTTTCTATTAATACAGTTTATTTATCAATATATTCTTGTTTTAATCAAATTTACTCTAAAATTTATTATATATGGCATAATTATTATTTAAGCAATTTATTATAAAAAATAAAAGTTGTAAAATAAATATGAAAGATTCATAATATGTAAATGTATAAACAGTTTTCCTATATTTGTTACAAATTGTTTATGATTTCATGGTTACTAATAACAAAAATAAATTCAAGACATACTGGATGACACTCATATAAAGTGTGATCAGAATCACCGGTATTTGTATGCCATTATTATTTGATTACAGAGTCTGATAAGCGATAATTTTATATCCCTCGGCAATACACTTTTTATAATTTTGTATGTTTAGTTGATAACTAATGTTTCAAATATATAACAAACGGCTTAATCTCCTCAGTTTCAGTTTTAGTTAAGCTTAATCCCCATTTCAGTTAAGCTTACCCCTCTGGACATTACTGATTGTCCCTGTATATTGCGCTGAATATGTACTGTATCAATAAAACACTGGTTTATTTTCCCTATAAGTGTATTAAATAATTAATTGTTATTACAGTATATGCCTTCCGGTTCAAATAAACTACTGATTCAGACTCTAGTGATGCTCAAAAATGTTTACTACAGTATTTGGATATGTATGTTATGTGAAATAAAAGTTAAATTCAATTTTATAACAATATTCATTGCAAAGAAACAAAATTAATTATTACTTGGAATACACGTATTATTGATATGCATACTGATACGGGTAATTTGTATACCCGTTATCATACCATACCTGTCATATATACAAAATTTTACGATATATAAATATCTCTATTATTTTTTATACAAAATATTTTATACATAAATGGCTATTCTATACAATATTATTCATGTTTTCATAATTACATAAGAGTTAAGACAATAAATATTTTCATATAATATATTAATAACTTATAAATCAATATATATTTGTAATTAAATTCAAATCCCTATAAGAGTTGTCCGATTGAATGATATGATGAAGGCGTCGATACCATAGGCACCTCTTGGGCCCCAAATGGTGTGCCCACTAAACCATTGTTAGCGCTATAGGCGCCCATTTTTGATGGCCTAACGTTTGTCGGGGAATAGCGTGTCATAACTAAATGGTTGCTTTTGAGTGTCGGCGTCGTGTCTTGAGCTACCGGTGCGCTGCCATTATGTTTAGAATTGGCAGCACTTGTAGTATGTTTTTGAGCGCCTTTCTCAACCGAGTCGTGAAGTTTTCGGATATGCTTTTTAAGGTCAAAATTGCGACAGAATCCCTTTCCGCAGGTCAGGCACTGGTAGGGCTTCTTGTCGTTGTGAGTGTGCTGTGATGGTAGGAATGGGTAAAGGAATGGTATGTTAGTTATTATGAGTTACATATAAGTATTTATTTAAATTGAATGTATCTATGAAAAAATAATTACGACTACTCACTAAATTAGTGTTAACTATAATAAACTATAATAACTATAATAAGTGTTGCTATTATAGACTACTTTTGATTTGTTATTTATTTAGTTATAAAAGCATTTATTTAGAAATTAATAGTTCAATTATGCTTGGTAAGAATTAAAGGTAATAAATTTACAATAAAACTAAAACATGAAATAATATCAAAACACATACCAAATGAAAGGTGAGATTATAGACCTGATGGAAGGCCTTCCCGCATATCTGGCACTTATAGGCCTTTTCGCCGGAATGGGTCAGCTTATGGTTCTTATAATTGCCCTTTTGGTGGAAACCCTTACCGCAAAACTCGCATTTATACGGCTTATACCCCGCGTGGATACGGATGTGTGTGTTCAAAGTGGAACTCCTATTAAACGCCTTTCTATCCTTTTGACAAATATGTAAATGTATAATACTTAGAAAGTATAAATAAAATGTTGAAAATAAAAAATATTATTTAACGAATTTATTATTAATACGGTATATATTATTTAAAATCTCATTTAAACTACAAAACAAGAATATATTGATAAATAAACTGTATTAATAGAAAAATATTGTCAATAAATATTTAAAATATCAATGAATAAAAAATTTAAAAATAAAAAGTTATACTATATCTTGAAAATCAATCAGTGTTTATACAATAAAATTGAAAATATTTCTAATGTATACTATTCAGAGATTTCATGTATTACGATATATTCATTCAAAAAATATAATAAGTTATTTGAAGTGGTGTTCATTTTAATTCAGTTATAACCAGTGTTTTCTTCATTTATTATATACTCAATAAAAAATAGGTATTTTTTGGTATTGTACTACTGTATTACTTGAAATATAAGCCCCGGGCTCTTTACTCACCACAATATTACTCATCATTTTTATTAGCAAATAAAACCACATATAATACCAATTTATGCTCAGATTTTCTATCCTATTATACTGTATCTATTTCTTTCTCTCGCGTACTCCAACTTTAATTGAAATTCAAGTGG